AGAGAAACCCCGTCGAATACCACTTTCAGTGCTGAACTCGGGAGAAAAAGTGCCCTATGCTCGGACTCGGCTATTATTGTAGAGGAATTGTATTAATGAAATAAACTTCACGGGCACACCCTTCAGAGAAAGGCAGTGCCAGAATTTAAGGCGGTCGACTGAATCGAAAGCCGCTTTCAGATCGAGGAAGATAGAAATGGTGGGTCTACGAAAGGAGTGTCTGTGTACTAGCATTTGACGAAGAGTGAAGATGTGGTCGATACAATCTCGACCGGTTCTCAAACCAACCTGGTTCTCACGCGTGCACACTTCACGTGCTGCAGACAATTGACGGAGTACAATACCAGAGAGAATTGTAGAAGCAATGTTGATTAAACTAATTCCTCTGTGGTTTTCACAGGAGAACCTGTCACCTCTCTTGGAAATCCGTATCATCACGGATTCACACCACTCAGTTGGAACCCGTTCTCTATTCCACAATGTGCCCAGGAGTTTTGTCAACTTCAAAACCAAGGCTGAACCTCCCTCCTTAAAAACCTATGGTGACAGCCCGTTGGGGCCGGAAGCCTTATGGCTTACTCAGTGGTCAGTCGACTGTTTTTTGTATGTTTGTTTTTGTCTGAAATAGGCCACAATTGTTCCACTGTTTGCCGCTAAAGGTGTAATTTCTCACACACACACACCCAAATTGCATTTCATTGCCAGATGAAGATCGTTCTGTCGGATTTAAGTTGATTGAACAAGTCATTTCCATTGATAAAACTTATCGTAAATACTTCTGGAGCTAGAGCAGCTTTCGACAACCTGCGACACCTGTGGCGCCGCCACGACATCCAACTAATTCTTAAGGGAAGAGTGTACATCGCCGCGGTTCGTAGCGTCCCACTTTACGGTTGCGAGACCCGGCCTCTCCGCTATGATGAGGTCAATCGACTTTCTGTACTCCACTACCGATGTCTCCGAAGCATTGCTCGTATCTGGTGGGAACATCCGGTGAGTAATGACGAGGTACGTTGTCGTGTGCTGGGTGCGGACAGTTGTTCTCTAACAGAAGTAATCGCTCTACACCGCCTCCGATGTCTTGGTCACGTATTGCATACGACTGCCCATCGACTACCTTTCCGTGCTCTCTTGACACGTGCTGGGCAAGGCTGGAAGAAGCATCGCGGCAGTCAGACCGTGACAGGAAGGGGGAAGCGGCCAACCCAAGGACTACCATACAAGTTAGGTGGCGGCGATGGTGGTGGGATTCGAACACAGTTCCTGCGGGGCGATAATTCGGTAACCTTTACCACTCGGCCACCAACACCATCTGTACTATGGACCCCGTTATCTATGTCACTGCGAGCGTTCTGGTGTTTTTTCGTGGGAGATATATGTAAATGTGATTCCTCGGATCACAGTAAATGAGCACATTGGTTAGTTGACTGTCGAAATTGGAGCAACCAACCAAAAGACAGTTGAGTACGGTGACCCTGAAAAGTGTTGCTTACATGGTCATGTGGCACGAAAACATAAATTGTTTTGTTGTCTGAATCAAAGTGTTCAACCACTAATTCTTGCATTTTGATCAATCCCTTGAGGGACTTAAACCGCAAACCTTTGGTTTTGCAGATAAATTCGTTGGACCAATCACTTTTTACGCTTGTGAAAAAAAGTCCGTAAAATAATTACGTTAAATGCGCGAATTCCGATCACCTTGTGCCTATATTTAAGGGTTTCGGTAACCAGAAAGACAGTTTTCTTCACGCGTGCTGCACACAATAACGTCTGTGTGCAAACGAATCAGAGAACATAAACCGGTCTGGTTGAGTACAATAACAATAACTAGTGCGATTGTGGCCCACCTCACTGATATCGGGTACCATATATATGGATAACAACAATGCTTTCAAATTCATGTGTAAAGTGCTTCAAAGCAAGTTGAAGTGCGCTTGGCAACCTCACTTGACAACGGCAAAACCTGTAGCAATCAAAATCCTGCAAGCGCCACGAGGCGAACAGAACAAAAGGATTACCAAACTCCAATTGTCCTCGTCCCGACCCCCACCTACGTGATGCGAGCCAAACCATGACGACGTAACATACCGTAACAGATTGCAAGTGAAACAGGTTTCATCGGTAGTTTCCGAAATTGACCTTCTACCTTCCCCGTCTCTCCTTTCTCCAGGACGAGACAGATATTATTGTTCTTGTCCATTTAATTTGATGAACAATTCACGTTCATTTCTACCTTAAACACACGGATGCTCATTAGCTGGGTCACTGCATAAATGAAATGTAACCATGGCGATAGTTTGATGCACACGTTTATATATATATTTCTAACATCAGCTCACAGATCACACACGCTAAACTTGGTTAGGTCTAACTCGGTGGGAACTCGTTAATACTCCACACCCGGGGGCATTTTAAATGCGATGCAATGTTGTTCATGTTGTACAACGAAGAGCATTGGAAGAAGCTGTTTCACAACCAGTCCTGGGTACATGCATCTATTGTCCGGAATTTGGGCAGTAAACTATCGCGTTGGGCATCTATGCCCGGAAGGACACGGCGGATGGTCAAGACAAGCACAAAGCATCAGGGAAGGATCATCAGGGTTGCGTTGCTCAAGGTCAACTAATTAAACATCGAATCACCTCACCCACAGCCACGGGAAGGTGTGCGGTTTGAGTTCCCATAGGGGCACAAACGTATGCATCACGGATGAGTCTCTATAGGAAAAAGGCACCCATCGAGTGATCTTTGTTTGTTATCGCAAAACATTTCATGGCATTTGACAAACAATAATTCGTTGATTGCGATTAATTTTATAGGACACTAACACGGGGACATTTTGACGATTAGATATCAACTTTCTCCGTCCTATTTCCAGGATCTCAGTGTTTCAGTTAACTGCACGGATCTAATGCACTTCTTCGAATGTGTATTATATATTTCTGATTAAAATAGCAATTAATTATGTCAAACAAATTTACGCCCTGTTCACATTGTCATCAACATCAGTCCCCGGGTTGATTCCCTGTCGTCCACCTGAATGACAGGTGATTCGCTCCACATTCTTTAGCGGGAACAAAGGGTGTCTGTCGCAGAGACCAAGATAAGACCCCAACCCGATGGCTAGCCAGATCGATAACTGCGTGTGCATGTAGACCCACACGTATCTCACATTAAACAGCTATTTAACCAGCTCCAGACTGGTGATAGTGCACGAGAGAACAGTTAATGAAGTGTCGTAGAAAATGCACTCGCAAATGTACGCCCGAAGTTGATAGGCATTGTTGGTCTCGCATCGCATACCGCCCAACAAGTCAATTCATCTCTCTCACTGTCTGTCTGGTTGAAAAAAATCTATGCTAAAGAACTCAACGTTCCGATACAAAACGCGTGCGTGTGTGCTGAAGCATACTGTGCATACTATTGCAGCACTGGACGTTCTTCTGTTGTAGACCCCGCACGTGGGGTCGGTTGTGAAGGGTGGTGTTGATCCTTAAAAGCATCATCATAAGGTTGTTACGTCGAATAACAACGGCACCACCAGTATCATGGCCTTCGTTCCCATACACACACACATCTATGAATCCCTCAATGTTGTTTTGATTGTTGTAGTTTTCCTTCAAATAGAAGGGATTATGTCGAATATTATTCCATTTTTTGCAATCGAATGATCAAAGTCCGTCGATATGTCACAGGTTAGTTAGACATGGGTAGTTACGCTCCTTCCCACATAAGCGTTTAAGGTCATCACGTTCGGGATAGAGGGTCCATAGCATACATCTCAGACTACTTAAGAGTACCCGGTAGGGAGCTTCACAAACCGATTAGTTGTTTGGTCTCTCGTCCGACACACCACTCCGTTCTCACTTATCGCTTCGAAGTGGACACAAGGTATATATCGGTAGACGGCGCGACAGGCAGGCAGGCTCGACCAGGTTGTGAATGACAAGGACTCTTGAAAGCTTTACGCGAAAGGACTGCTCTGCAGACTTACAGTTCGAAAATGGTCTCGCAAAGTAAGTAAAAAGTTTGGTAGTGAGGGAGATACCGTTTTGTATCGTACACCTGTATTTTCCTCCCGTGATATCTGAGGGGAGCAGTCCAAATCATGGGTGGAGTAGGGTGTGAAACCCCGTCGGCCAACGTTGGATCTGTGGAGTCTCGCTATGGAACCTCATCCGCACCGGCCTATTCATCAATCAGGGGGCACAGAAAGTGGGCAACCAAGATGAGAGGAAAGCTCACGTCGCCCTTTAGTAGAAGATAGTCGTGAAAAATATCTGGTAATAGTAACGCGGACACAATGCACACTTTTCACCTACGACGACCGACTGTCGGGTTCACATGATTTTTCGGAGCTTAGTTATTCACTATAATGCTATCTATCTTCATAACACCAGTCGGACTTCGTGTCATTTTTGGAAGCAAGGACTGGAATTTGTCTTAATTGAGACCATAAGAACATCATCCAAGTTACCTCACAAACTGTTGATTTCAGTTTAAGAAAGTGCTTATTACATATCATTATAGGTAGGTCACCGTCCGTGAAGACAATGAGAGGAAACTAAGCTGAAAGTTTACGGTGAATATTGATTTCAACTGACCATGCTTCAAACTTCCCCGTCATGCATATTCCTCAGCTCTTCCAGTCAAACATACACTCGGAAGTACTACGAATTCCAGTTTCGTTCTTATTAGAGCTCATCAGTGGTGCTTATCTACCACCCCATTCAGGCTTTGAACTCTGAAGCCATCGCATGAAGTGTGCTTACTACCACTGTGCTAACCAGCTCATGCCAGGGCTGAACAGAATTGCCAATTCATGTTTGTTCATGTGTCGAAACTCTTGTCTATAGTGTTTCCGAATTTATGGTTAACTGGATAGTGCGTGAAAGTCTGAAGCCTGAATGATAATCAATTCAAACAACTTATCAAGTGCACCACACGTCACTACTCACAAGTATCTAATGCGAATTACGATGAATGTTCATAATGGAAACTCACATATCATTTTCTCCCGTACATCGTTTCTCAGTTCTGCACGCATCGTGCTTTATGGATAAGAGATGTGCCGTCTGAGATACCTCGGTACCGCTGTATTGAGAGTGGGACATGAATGTTCCAACTGTTTGATTCTGGTCCGGATGTTGATGATAATGAGGAGCAGGAGCTAAACCAGCAGTTGCTGCTGCTGCTGCTGGAGTTGGCAAATGCTGTGCGGACGATTGCCGCAATTCTCGATGAGATTGCATCACAGTGGATGAACCAAGTTGATTCGGAGTTTGCGATTGAGCGCAACCATTCCACTCCACTGGATATGCGGACGATCTAGTTTCTTCCGGGTACAGTATGCCTTGTTTATGATTGTTTGTGCATGTGGGATCTCGAATCACTGTGCCTCGGTCAGCAGGCAACGAACCTGCTCTGTGATCACCACAATTCGGTTTAGCACGTTGACCTGTATCTGGTTGTGCCCGTTGCTCTTCGCGATTCTTCACCATCGAGTACAGCTCGCGTGCTTTCTGACGTGAGCTCATCTTGGATGCGGATTCCGTTTTGCTCACCGATTGATTGACTGATTTCACAATGGTTGTGGGTCTCTGTAATTTGGAATTCGGTCCCGAAATCGCACACATGCCACGCTCTGTGTGTTCGTAAGGTTGTGGCTCGATCGATCGAGCTCTGCCTGGACCCAACTGCGGCACTGCAGAATAGGTGCTGGGGAACACTGACACGGCACGCTTGGATTCCCCATCGTTTGTTTTACAACCGGTGCAATTATTTGGTGCCTGGCCTAATTGGGGATCGTTAGTGGAATTTTTGTGCCCGTAGAAAAGAGTCGCTTCCTCAGACAATTTTGTTAGTTTCACTCCGGGTTGATCGGATGGTGAAGTGCAAGCACTGTCTTTCGAATAGGATGAGGACGAAATACCACTGTCACAAAACGTTTTCTCATCCCCGGCAGACAGGCTCGATGTGGCGGAGTTGGAACTGGGAATAGAGGTCGTGTGCGACTTGCTCGTGGCGGACACTCGTCTGGTCGGATTCAATACGGTCACCGGGTCAGGTGAGAATGGATGACCGGATTGCGGGATTGCACAGATTTCATCCATACTAGTATGTTTACCCGGTAGACGGAGTATGTTTCCCGTAGTGGGTGAGCTGATTATCTTGGCATCCAGTGCGGCTTGCTGGAACGTACCCATCTGTGGTTGTGAGTGAACGGCTGACGGGGCGGATTCGTTGAAACGACTTACCACAGCGGGGTTATTGAAATATATAGGTGCACTTGTTTGCGAGTCGTATGATGTTGTCACTGGGTTAAAACTATGCGTACTGGTATATGTTGCCATGGCTCCACTGTTAGGTTCACCATAACCATTAGTAGTAGTCGTGTTGCCCGTGGTTGTTGCAGTAGTCGCGTTAGTGGCAGTTGCTACCGCGGTATTTCCACCAGTCATCGACAATGAATTGAACGGATATACTTGTGCTGTTTGACTTGTAGTGTAAGCTTTGTATGGCGGGACAACTAATGTATTGGGATGATTACTACCACCGGCTCCCGGTTGAAAGTTCGCGAACTGAGGCAACGTTCGGGGTTCACTGTTTCGTCCACCGAGCTGTTGGCGTTTGGCCAACCCGATCGCATGTGTCGCGCGTGCAAATGATTCATTCTGCCCACCACCAGATACGCTTGCACCAACACTTGAGGCTCGATCGAATGGGGCCTCGGTCGGATAAGTCCATGTGCCATGCGGTCGAACCGACTGAGCACTTCCGTAAGGGAGTCCTTTTATCATATACGAGCGGGACTTTCCATCCGCGGGACAGGGACCGGAATCNNCGCGGGATTGAGATCGCCCTCCAGGTGCACCGCTGTGATGGTGATGATGACCCGGATTCGGTTGCGTCCCCGTTCGCGATTGATGCGCATGCAGTTGCGAGTGTGCATGATGCGGACTGGGCAGGGACTTTGGTCGAAATGTGATCAGCGACTGAGGTGGCAGAGATGAGAGTGTGTGTGAATTGCGTGATCTTGACTGGCTCTCACATGATGAACTACCCCAATCGGAATCAGTTGCTAAAGGCACATAGGTGGATCGATGTTGTACCGGTTGTGTTGCTAAACACTGACTAATATGAGGCATTCGTGATCGACTGTTACCGGAGGTCACCGGATTGGAAATCGTTCCGGATTGTGATTGCAGACTTGTTTGTGTTTGCAATTGTTTTTGTTGGTGTTGCAGGGGCTGTTGACTTTGCGCTGTTGGTGGTGTGGGCGGTTGTGGTGATTCTAGTCTCTGGTGCTGATCGAAAGCAATCTGTGTTGGTTCGATGAGATCGGACGTCTTTGAACTGGGTGCGTAGGCCAGAATAACACCACCATCAGTGATGGTCCCAGTCGGAGTGGAACAATCCGACGTGGTACCCGACTGGGTCGATGCAACTGAACGATAGCTTAGTGAACTGGCTCGACGACTCAAACAGCAGGGCTGCTGATTGGTTTGTCGATTGCCGGAGATGGAGCCGGGGAGCAAGATGCCGGTATTTGCCCAATGTCCAACATCCGGCCCAGTGGTAGACGGAACTGCACAAATGTCGGAGGAACGAGTGAGGGTGGGTGAGAAGGAACGGAGGGAGAGAGAGAGAAGGGAAACGGAACGATCAGCGGTGAGTGAAGATAAGAATACATAAAAACTTTGATTTCGGTATTTGGCACGGGGTATAGTGTGGATGATAACAAATCGGAAGAATGCTTCATTTACAAAGTAAGCCAACAAACAATGTGTACGGTAGAAATAAAACCTTCAGCTAAGTAAATGCTCGGTTGAACAAAATTGCTGTTTCCAATGCCGGTTGTTATTCTTTTGAAGTTCAGTATTTCACATAAACAGCATCGATGAAAGAAGGAGCCGGAATTCATCACTTTGTAAAATTCAATATGGGATGAAATGTAACGACAAGTTACATCTATGTGATTTGCGCCAAAATTATCTATCTAATCACTTTGATGCAATTTCGTTCAAACAAAAATATTCATTGATGTGTCACATCCCGAATAGATTCTTATTAAGTGAAGTTGGAACATTTTGGCTGCCCTGGTATGGGTTGGTTGGCACAGCGATAACACACACGTCTTCCATGTGCTGGGTCCGGAGGGCGCGATGGAAATGCACTGGGGCTGATGAACTCTGATAACGGCGAAACTCTATACATTTTTCAATTTAAGTAGTAACATATTACCCGAATTCTTCGCGAATTCGGCAACTATTCTTTAAACAGAACAAAATCGCTGATCAACAGTAAGGTAAATGTGGATAGAATACTTTACCCATATACCTAATATGCCTGATACCCCATGGAGCACCCAATACACAGTCATTGTCGTTTGTGGGATCCTGGATAACTGTAACTCATCCTTATCGCCATGAAATCAGGATGTGAAAAGATGCGAACGGTTGATCACTAAAACAATGGGGATAAGAAAGTATGCGATGTAACTGAGCGGTGAAGGGAGAAGCTGCAGGTGACAGACTGTTGCCATTGGCAATGTGAATTGAATGTGATAATCATCCCGGGAATGTCAGTAAAATTCTGACTTCTGTTAGCTAGTGAGTAAGTTCAAATTTCATCTTACTATTCAGATAAAAGTCCGGTAATTCTTTCACTGTATCCATGTACCATTGATAAATATCCTGTCAAGTATGCCTTTCAATGTCCGAAATACGTAGATAATCGCAGTCGATTCAAAGGAATCGGTGTTATTTGAGGGAATCACGGTCGCCATGGAATTTACTCGCTGGGATATTGAGGAGGCCTAGACTGTATCCACTCATGCAATGACTCGTCCCAACATTCACGTCTGGACATCATGATGTGATTCGCTTCTTTACCGGAACGCAGAGGTCAATGACCGCCCGGGTTTGTTCATTCGCGTCCACGAAGCACACCTCTGATCACCGGTGGGGGAGAACAGCCCATCCCATCCCAACCCACCCCATCCCACGTAAACCTTCATCCTCAATCATTGGCAATAATATTAAAAGCGAACTGCACATGACAACAAGATCATCACAAAAAGTGCAAGACAGTGTGAAACGATGGAGCAATCAGACAACGTAATATCATCATAGCAACATGACATTCTAAATTGATATTTGGACGTCTCAAATTGAAAAAGGTATGGTATAGTACCTCCGCGTGTACGGGTGAGTGGAAGAAGAGAGGGGTGTGTGTGGAGGTGAGGTCTTAAGAATGATCAATTCTAATCAATCAATCAATCAATCAATAATGCCCCAAACATCTGTAATAACGCATCAAATAATTCGAGACATCCTTTAGAGTAGTACAAGAAAACAAGTCCCGCGGTACATGGTGGAGCTCAGTGTCCAATTATACAACAGCCGACGACATTCTTCGTTGAATGCAACAATGGTAGGGATTTGAATTTGAAATTTTAGACAGACAAGATCGAATAATTCGCAATACGTTTGGCATCATTTCAAGGAGAAAGAAATAGTTGATAAAGACAACAACAATGAGACACAAGGTCATTTATGTTCTGGTGTGTATTTCTGTGGACAGATTGAGTCAGTTGAAAATCCGACCAGATAAGTTCAGTGCACCAGATCACAGGAACAAAAGTGAGTCTATCATGCTGAAGATGGTTGGAATACGATCGTCTCGAACTAACGATTGTTTCAATGCATATATATGTATTTGGTGTTCAGTTGTTCGCCGAGCTTGGCAATTGGCGAACAATTGAACACCAGTTTATACTACCCGAGCTACAAAAACAACAATCAACACCGTTGTTTACAAAACTGTCATATATATGTATGTGTGTGTGCATGTTTGAGTGTACATATGAATGCATGTATGCATGTGCATGCCTCCGAAATCCTCAGTATTGTCGGGGGTGAGTGTCTACAGTCGCGGCTGGTCACCCTGCCCTTGCACCTCGCGAAATGATCCCATACGATCAGGCGTCTCGAATAGCATCTACGCACTGCCTTCTCGTGGCGCGGTGGTGTTTCCCACCAAAGTGAGAGGACGAAAAGCCGATACCCGGGGCTATAACCGGGTTGGAGGATCACTGGTACCTCACTCAGGGGAGTTGGCCAAGAA